TTCAAAACAATCCTCCTCCATGCAACTTTTCCAATTGCCAAAACTGAAGAGACCAATGAAAGGAAAGCGTTTTGCAACAATTGATGAGATGAAATAAAAATCGCAGAATTCCGAAAGCCATACCGAAAAGCGCAGAAGAAGTGCTTCGAGGATTGGAGGAAGCGCTGGTATAAGTGGGGATTACTTTAAAGGGGATAAAATGGATATTGATGAATAAATAAACACTTTTCCAAAAACAAATTCAAATTTGCCCTTTTCTTTTGAACAGACCATGTACCATGGGCATGTCACAATCGATCCTTAGCGCGCCAAGCTCGGTAATCTTGTTACCCATCGTCTTGGCAATGTCAAATGGCCAGCTCGGAGCAACGACTTGATGCCTTTTTTGTGAGGTGCCATGAATGATGGTATAGGAACAATCCATTAACGATTCAAGCCCTCAAGGCGAATATCGAACAATCTATTTGTGCGATAGAGCCTGAAATCGTCACCAAGGACGTGGAAATCTGGATCAGGATGCGCTACAGCGAAACTAGCCGGGGCAGGCACATGAATGAAATCTAATTTCATAGATAATGGATATTTTTGCTCGTTCAAATAAACCCACAATATAGAATAATGAATTGATTTCACTTCTCAAAAAGAAACCACCATGGACCAACCGTTGTGTTCTTCATTCTATGCGCTTCCAAATAACACCCCGATAAATAATATACCCGATCTCTTTGTTAAAAAAGGTTATGAATAGGCTAAGGAAAAATTAATTAGGACATATGAGAATTTGATAAGATATGTTCACGACTGGGGCTTGGCACATATTTATAAATGCATACGAGTGCATAAACATGTATAGTACATAAATATATACCTAAATACAAGTATATATGTATATATAGGCACTAGCAATAGTTGTTACTCTTCGCTGTTTTGCCATAAAGCCATCTGCCACGCCTCATGCTGAAGTGTAACTCCAAACGCCTACTGACACTAATGCAGCAAAATTGAAGTAGATGCAAGTGGAAATGTCCTTGAGGCTGCTTTGGCTGCTGTATGCACGCACACTTGTATACACATACACACACACACACATACATACACATATATACATATGTTGCCGCTTAACTGTCGCCCAAGGCGTTCTCAGTCGTAGAACAAAAGCTTGGCAATGACAGCGGCGACAAAGACGACGAAATTTTACTGTCGTTATATGTTTGTATGCATGTGTGTGTGTGTGTGTTTGTGAGTGTGTGTGTGTGTGTGTTTGCTTTTTATGCCCACAAGAGTGTGCGTTGCAGTTTTGGCAACATTGGCCTCTTTCAAGTGACGTCACACGCATACGAGCATGGAGGCTGCATTTGTATATGTATATATGTATATATATGTATATGTATATAGTATGCGTGATGTGTGCGTTCAGATAAAAAAAAATGTGTAAATTGGCGCGCTCGCTGCTCGTCTCTGCTCGCTGCTCGCTCCTCGCTGCATATCTAGCATGTTTAATGTAATTACCAAAAGGCTTTCAATACACGAGAACATAAAAGTCAGTCTCGCTTGTGTTCGCTGGGCGCAAAGCAGAAAGTGACAGAGACAGCGCAACAGAGCGAATGAAGAGAATGCGAATAGAGAGAGAGAGAGAGAGCAGAAACACATATATGAAAGTTTGTCTCTGTGTGTGTGTGTGTGTGTGTGTGTGTTTGTGTGCGTGTTTGTTCCACTGCCGTTGGCAGCTTGCCAAATATCATCTATAAAATACGAGCTTAAGCACGAGCAAAAGCCCAATAAGGAAATTTCCAAATGTGCACCAAGCTGCGAGCATTGAGTTTTGCCTCAACAATTTTCACCATTCTGGAGGCAAAAAATGTAAAAAATAAATAAAGACGGAACAGAAATACTTGCATTGCATATATGCAGGCGCCGCATTCAGTTGTCGCTGCCGATTGCCGATGGCCGCTGCAGCAGCAGCTGCCACGCCCAACGCCTCCTGAAGCCTACTTCGGTAAGCAACGAGCCGCGCTGCCCCAATGCGGCTCGAGTGGCTGCCACTCCACTGGAAACGGCAACAGCAACGGCAACGGTGACACAAGTGGCAAGGGCTCTGATGCTGTAGCTCAGCCCTCAGACTAGGCCAGGGGCAAGAGTTGGGTAGCAGGACGAGGACGAGGACGAGGATGAGGAAGAGCGAGCCGGCAGAATAGGGCTGGCACGCTGGCGCCAAGTGCTTCAGTAAAATAACATTTTGGCTTGAGTTTTGTATTATTTCCTTTCGCCGCACTATAAGCAATATGACCGAATAAGTATATACGTACATACATATAAAGAAATATATATGTGTGAGTGTGTGCCTAATATCTGTGCGTTAAATGCAAAGAAATATTTAGTCATGTTGTTGTTTGTGCTTAAAAGAGTCTTAGCCATTTGCTTTACTTACTTTTATGGCGCATTTAGTTGCCAGTCTTTTATGTTTAAACTCGTATAAAGGCCCTCGTTGCTACAAAAAACTCAAATTAAATTTCATTTCCTTGCCAAATCGACCGCAGGCATGCTTTTAATTTGTGTGTTTTACTCTTTGCTGCTGTTTTCCATTAAAAAGATTTACATACATAGATATTTATCTTGCTAGACATTGTGACAAACATCGTGGGCTCAACTTCAATTAAAGGTTGCCAGCATGAACATAAAGTAAGCTCACGTTACCAAACTGATCACCACAGGGGTGACCAAGAAAACACTAATAAGTGGTTGGTATGATGAAACGATTCCTTAAACACGCCATGATGAACGCAGCTATAACTTAAAAAGTAATTAAATTTATGCAGAAATTGGCTTCCCTCATTGAAAAACTGAATCAAGAGTCTCGTAACCACACAAATTAAAATGTTTGCTCGTACGAGGACTTTCATTACAAGCCAGAAACCAATAAACTAGTTTGTTATTGCTGCGAAATAGCATTCTGAAATAAGTTGCATGTAAGCAGAAGGAATCAAAACTTATATTTTTGCAGCATTTTCAAGTTTCTTACAGATCATTATTTGTGCAAAAGCTGTGTTACACAATTTACTTTTATTTTCTCTCCACAATGGGATAAGCAAATGACTCTTATCTAAAAGTCCCGCTCACAATCTAGACGTCTAAGTCTAAATACACTCTCCACCTTTTTAATGTGCCCAACTAGCCAGCGAATAGAAAAGCGATGAAGAAGTTCTTTAAATTAATCTCATTTAAGCAAAACCAGCAAATATATTCTTATTATATTTAATGTGCCAGCGAATAGAAAAGCAATGAAGTTCTTTATATTAATCTCATTTAAGCAAAACCAGAAAATATATTCTTAATATACATTGTGGATATTAATCAATATTTGATTAGTCAGAAAACGTAAATACGACCTATTTTTCAAAATCTATTGCAAACCAGAAGAAAACTATATGTAACTATAATATGCACTAAGGCCTTGAAGTAATTGTTTGCTAAATGTTGCTCAAAAGGATAAGATAATAAGAAAATAGTCCTTTAAGCATACTATGCAATGAAAACAGAAAACGTGGAAGATAAATCAATGATACATACTTTAAACTGCCTATCTATAGTATTTAATGCACAAGGAATGTTGTATACGCTTCTCTCAGATTAGAAGGAGGCCGAAGGGGTCACATCCCGCTGATCTTGCCGATAGATTTTCATAAAGTATAAATAATTAAATAATACTAAACTCCTAGTTTAAGCTGTATTTGTATTTTCTATAAGTTGAATTTAATTTAGTATAATTAAAGTTTTACATTTATAAAAAAAAATCTCTAAGATTGATCCAAACAGAAAGCATATTCGTAATGGATCACTTATATTAATATTATTTTTATTAAATATGTAATCACTGCGATGAATAAACATTTTTCTAATGCGCTCAGTTTTCAGTAAATGCTGAAACATTAGCATATTAATGAATAAATAAAGATATGCATGGATCAAGTATAAGTATAAAGGTATACAAGTATTTTTAAAATAGCCTACCCATCGAGCGGGTTGTGTGTGAGTTGTTGCTCGCGCAGCTGCAATTTTCGCTCGGCGATCTTCTTTTGCTCCTCCTTTTGCTCCCGCTGCTCCAGCTGATGTTGTTGCTGTTGCTGCTGCTTCTTCCGATGCTGACGATCCTCGCCCAGGCCATAAAGGCCGGCAACGGCAGCCATGGCAGCAACTGCCGCTGCTCTTCCTGTTGTTGCTGCTGCTGCTGCTGTTGCTGTCTAATCGCAACCTTAACACTTTGCACCAAAGGCGTTGCACAAATATTTTCTTTGCCTTCTTTTCTTTTCTTATCTTTTTTCTAGACTAGCACTGGTCACAATTTTCTTGATTTTTACACATTAGTTGCTGTTATTTCTGTTGTTTTGCGGCGTGATGGCCATTTTCTGCTGTATACTCGTATGCTTAGCATTTGGCTTGCAGTTTCAATAACACTTTAGAATTGGATTAATAGTATGAATGCGCGCTTGCCGTCGTATTGGGCCAACATTTATCAAATATTCACTAGCTGGCTACTTAAAAGATGTTAGGCTCCTGGCTGTGCTCCAAAAAAAAAAAAACGTGCGTGATTGCCTGACCCTGCGCACCCCCTGCCTTGTATAAGCGGCAATCAATAAAAACGGAGAGAGAAACTTAAGCGAAATGTCGACGCCAAACCAAGGCCTAAGCCCTAACCGTAATTGTAGCCCCAACCCACACCAATCCGAAAGTCAAAGCGAGTCAAACCGAGTCGAGCAGTGTTTATCCAAAGGCCAAAGATGTAAGCGCGTGTCTGCATGGCTGTGTGTCTGTGTGTCTGTTTGTCTGTATGTCCGTACCGTACTTCTTTGTTTTCGCTTTTCGTTTGATATACAATTTGTTTTCGTTTTGCGCAGAGTTTTGTGCAACTGCCGCCACGTACTGTGTGCCTCGTTGCACAGCAAAAACCGAAGAGTAACAATAAAACAGGGCACTAGACGCCAAATATTTACCGCAGCGTTCAACTAGGCGGCGTCACTGTCTAGCAATTTGTCGTCTTGTTGAAGTTGCGTGCTCCCATTGCTGGTGTCGCCGCCGCTGCCGCCGCCGCCGCTGCCGCCGCCATCGCCGTTGCATGTGGCGCATATGTCAACTGACATGGAATTCAAAAACAACAGCGTATAGGCAGCAAAAAGCATAGTGTACTTTTGTGCGCAATTCTCGGCTCTATGTCCTGTACACACCCAAAAGGTTAAATGGCTGGCGAGATGAGGAATCCATCATCTGTCCGCCTATTAGAGACATTAGATACATTGCTAGATGCTCTATATTTGTCAAATATAAGTCAAGTACCGACAAATATGATTGGTCTGATTAAAATAATAGTTTTTAAAGGACGACCGCTTCATTTCATTGTAATATGATTGAAATTACTGCATCCTTACAAATAAAATTCCCCGTCAATGAATAGTTATTATTTGCTAGGAATTCAAATCTTAGTGCCAGCAAACCCTTTCTTGAAGAAATATGCCCGAACTAGCCAAAAAATACATAAATTCCTGCTTAATGTCAACTCAATTAACAGTAAGTAGATAGGTTGGGCTAATTGTTTAGAAGAAAGTTGAACAACAAGGAATAAGAAAATAAATTATTCAGCATGAATCAAGCCCACGTTCCAAAGTACATATATTAGAAAACAGTTTACAGCCTTAAGAAAATATATTCATACTTGCAAGAAAATATTTTGGGTTTTTGTAAATATTAGAAAGCAGCTATATAAAAAGCTTGGTTGTATTTTAAAAGCGAACCCGTGGTCTTCTTTTCTAAATGTTCTAATATATTAGAAAACAGTCTGCAGTCATAAGAAAATATATTCATACTTGCAAGAAAATATTTTGAGTTTTTGTAAATATTAGAAAGCAGCTATATAAAAAGCTTGGTTGTATTTTAAAAGCGAACCCGTGGTCTTCTTTTCTAAATGTTCTTAGCAATAGTTTCTATTACAGGACAATGTGTATGAGAGAAGAAGATATGCAGGTTGTTATGTGCATTCTCAAAAATTAGTTTTAAGCATAGGAAGGATTATTTGACTACTCTTTACAAGGACTTAAAATTCAATCAGTTGAATATATGAAGCTTAGAAGTGGAATTTTAGGTCCCAAAATGCCACTTGATGATGTCTAAAGCAAATCAACAAAACTTAGAATGCACAAGACTATTCCTGTAGCTGCATAAAGCTGTCTTAACAAATTAGTGTTTGCAAGAACTTTGTCGAAGTTCACCGGTTATGTGCATCAATAATTGAAAATGTAAGCATTAGCTCGATGGAGGGTATTCTATAGTGGCCGATATGTTCAGAAATACAATTTCTTTGTGTTGTTTGTGTTACTCTTTTTGTTTGAATTTGACAAGTTGAGATTTGGCTGGCAGCTAAGTTTTGACTGCGCCATCGAAAAAGTAGGCAAAACCTTTTGTGTTTGTTCAGAAATCAATTAGCACACAAATGTTGGCCCAAAAACTATTGAAAGTGAAAATGAAAAGAGCTTTCGCAGCTGCCTGCCATTTAGTTTGCAATTTCCACATTCGGCACATGCGAGTTGCAGCTTTGCATGTATTAGTGTGCTTGTGTGAGTGTGTGTTTACGAGTGTGAGTGAGTGTGTCTTGATCGCAATACTAATGACATTTTGGCTCTGCGTCGAAGGCAAGGCGACGCCATTAAGTTGCAAGTTTTTGGCGCTGGAAATTGATTTTCGCTCATGGCAGCAAATCGAGACTCAACGAAGCAGGAACACAACTAGACAACAACAGCAAATCGGCAATGAAATGAAATGAAATGGCATCCAAACACACACACACACACACACACACAAAAGAGTAGTATGTGTTTTTTATTTATTTATTTTTTTGTAATTAAAAAGACGACGTTGTGCAAGCCAAGTAGGAGAACACATTGTTTTCTTGGAGGCACATTTGGAATGCTTTGAAATGGTTACACAACACAATCGGCACATGAACCAACAACATAATTGCATTACCCGACAACGACAAAGTGTTTGGGGAGCGTGCTATAACCTAATTGTTGTTGAGGTTATTATTATTATTTTGGTTGTCGTTGTCGCTGCCATTGCTGTTTCGTTACCATTTCCAGCGTCGTCTATTGTAATTGCAATGATTTGAAGCATATCGCAGCAATTTCCATACAAATCAAAGGTCCTAAATAAACCTTTACAAACAGGAAACGGAAGTGGAAGTGCGCGCGCGGTGGACGAGCAAACATGCGAACGAGCCCACACAAAGCAAACAGATATTGACGAGCACCCAACCACCCAACCACCCATTCGCCCACACAGACACACACACACACACACACACATACTCCTACCAGTAGGTAAACACACGACTGTTGGTGTGTATGTGTGTGTGTAGGTCTATTTGTAAATATGCATATGTAGACATGTGTATTATCTATCATCAGTCGAATCGAATTTGTATTTGTCGTCGGCATTGTCGTCGAGTCGCAACTGGCACGCTCAAGTCCACACACACACACACTTGCTTAGAGTACAGTTTCCATGGCTCCTGGTATATATTTGGTTGGGTGTGTGTTTCTTTGTTGCAAGTACTAGTACGAGCACTAGTAGTGGAGTGATCTGCCGAGGCAGAGCCAGACAGGAGGGCACAAATCGCAAAAGTGCAGCACCGCTTCAATGAAAGGGAAAGATTTAAATTGAATTGCATCCAGCACTACCTTCAATGGCATCAATAACGATTCAATTCAACTTTTTAATTCATCAAATTATGCTGCAGTTCCATTCCATTTCTATTTGTAATTAAATCGAGTTATTAATGAGAGTTTCACAGTCCAAATGTTTGACCATTTACTGGAATGTACTCGTAAATACATAACAAAAGAACAATAATAAACAATATTCTGAATATAGCTGGCCGGACTGGCAATCAAATTTTCCCCCACCGGGTTGGAGATTTTCCTTTTTCTCTTTCTGTTTATTTTTCACTTTCTGCATTTCTTCACCTATGTCGCTATTAGGTGGAATTAAGTTTTCTCCTCTACTATTTATTTCTAGTGGTATAGGTCTATAATGTATCTAACAACATATAGACTGTAAATCGGAATGAAATAAAACCCCCCCAAATTGGTAAACTGTATTGACAGCATTATTTGTTGATATATTAAATAAATAAATAAATAAATTACAGTACTCGTACTGAGTAGAACGCAATGTTTCGCTGAAGAAAATGTCATTACAGAGCAAAGAAGCACGTAGCTGGCCATCTGTATAAGTGCAAGCATATCAGCAAGGATAATAACTAAATAGGTCCAACCTAAATACAACGTGAATGAAAAATATAGATATGCAAATGAGGAAGTCTATTACATAGAAGTTCTGCGTTTTTGGAACTTGTTTCACATTCTTAATGCCTCACACGTCGATAGTTTTTCGGTTCGGAACTAAGAAATGCCTTTTTTAACGACTCGCAAAACATTTATTTATTACAATATTTATAAAAGTATGTAGACAGATAACAATTCGTGCCTAATAAACAGTTAAATTTTAATCGAATATGTATGTCTATATATGAAGGTTAGCAAATTTTTTAATCGTTTTTGCAGTAGTGGTGTACTTAATTGCTGCTATTGCTTTAATAAATCCTTAAAGCCTCTACTCTACTCATTTGCTACAGTTAAGTAATGTTGGTCATGATTGAAAAATTAATTTCTGCCAAGCCTAACTTTTATTTGATATCCTCTTTGTGTTATACTTAAGTACACGTTCAACAAAAATGAAGTGCTAGAGAGCCACTTGAATGGAAAAAAATAAATTAATATAATTAAATGAATGTGTGAAATACAGCGATAGCATTATAATAATACTGGCATATCACTAGCACTCCTATTGTGGCATGGCATCACTCGAAGTTTTTAAAACAAAATGGAAGTTAACAATAAACTCCGGAATCGAGCGATAGGTGCAGTAGTTAATTTGTAAATAATTCTAATCAATTTGTTTGAAAACCTAAACGTACAAATAAGTAATATAGGTATAATAATAAATGAATATTCATATAATTATGCGGGTTTGCGTCTAAGTTCTGCGAAATATTATATTTTTCCTAATTAAAGCAAAAATCTTTGAAATTTTAAAATTGATGGATTTTTTCTTCAAACATCAAAATGACAGTTTAAGTTCAGTTTATATTTAAGGAAATTATAAGAAAGTTTAGGTTAGCTAGCAATTATACTCTTATACGCAGGTCCTTGCGTTCATCCAGACGGACATATCGTCTGGTCTTGTGTGCACTATGACGAATATTTATTAGTATTTATGAGTCAGTGGACAGCCACTGATCTCTTCAATCAAAATATAAAATGTATACTTGAATTAAATGTAAGTCTTTTTAAAAAGTTTCAAAATTTTATCAAAGTTATGGTATCCAATCCTAAATTAGCCTGATTTTTCCCTTGGTTGCTGTAATATCTGACATATTTCAACATGTTTTATCGTCATTGGCAATCGAAAGTAGCTTGGTGAAATACTTATTTGCCACAAATCTTCAGACAGCTGTATTTAACAGAATCACAATGCAGGGTTATTCCGCGTCTATGCATTATCGCATACTTGCATATTTCTGTGCCATTTAGGTGTTCAAATCATCCGTCGCTTAATTTATTTCCCAAATTCGCTAGAGAGTGATTATGAAATTGTAAAAGCGAAAGTGACAAGTAGATCGCAGCTACACATCAAGCGAAAGTGTGCGCATTACACGTGGAGGCATGGGACGCTGCATGCGGTACGCGGCACGCGGCACGCGGTAAGGCATTCGAAAAACATTTGTGCAATGGCATGCGCTATGCTCTCGTCCTTTCGTCCGTGGCATGCAAAGCGGAAAAAATCATTACGCTGTCTGACAGTCAGACAGACAGACAGATAGACAGAGACTAGCAGCGAGCGTGAGGCTGAGCGATAGATAGACATGTAGGTAGACTGGCAGTCAGTCAGACAGGCAGGCTGGCAGGCTGGCAGGAAGGATGGAATGTAGAAAGGCAAGCAGCAATTTTGTCATTCAATTCAATCTGGGCGTGAATGTTTCGTCTTTGTTGGCTTTGTTGGCTTTGTTGCTTTGCATTTCAA